CTTGTCCCACCTACTTCCTGCCTGGCCACTGGCCAATCAGTGTTTTATTTATTGACCAATCAGAGCAATTTGACATACAGACCATCCCACAGCACCCTAGGGATGCACTTCCACGCACAAAGCCACATCTCCAAATGGTGCCACTCCCTATGGACCTATGGTGGCCATTATGTTCAAACCACCACAGTTAGGGTTTCTATTGCTGTGAAGACACACCATGACCATGGCCACTTTTATAAAGGAAAAAAATTAAATGTAACTGGCTTATAGTTTCTGAGGTTTGGTCCATTATTGTCATGATAGGAAGCATGGCAGCATGCAGGCAGACATGGTGCTAGAGAAAAGAACTGAGAGTTCTAAATCTTGATAGGTAGGCATCAGAATGAGTGAAATAATGAGGAAGCCTTGAGCATCTGAGACCTCAAATCCTGCTCACAGTGACACCCTTCTGACAACAAGGCCACACCTATTCCAACAAGACCACATCTAATAGTGTCACTCCCTATAGGCCTATAGGGTTCATTTTTATTCAAACCATCACATTGATGTGTGTATTTGAGCATGTGTATAAAAAAAGAAAAGAAAAGAAGGCTACAAATTTGCAAAGAAATATTTTAAAGGGAGAGTTGGTTTATTATTATACAATTATCTGTCCAAATGTTCAAATATGGCTTATAAGGCCTCCCCATGTAACAACCCACCCGTGACAACAGAAATTAAAGAATTTTTAACTAAAGTGTGGAACAAAATTCAAAGAAAATTTGTCAAAGTATTTTCATTCCAACCTCAAAGTGATCTCCTTTAAGGAAGTTTATCTAAAAGTCCACATGAAGTATATTTCCTTTCTCTCAAGATTCTACAATGCAACTCCTATCCACGCAAGCAGTTTCAAATTTTTTGCACTGATTACAAATGAAAACTTATGTTTAAAATACAAATGATCAACATATAGTGTTTTTAATTTTTCAGTAGTTTTTATAAAAATCCATGAACTCAAACTTATGATCCTCTTGTCTCTACCTCATTCAGTGTATCCCACTTACTAAAAAGGAGACTAAGAAAAGATAGTATCAGGTGATAAGTGAGGACAGAATGAAGACACAAAGATATAGAGAGTCATAAAAGATGACATAGACTGAACTGTCTTGCTAATTTCAATTTTGTAAATTTTTTCTTTTGTCATAAATAAATATATCAAAATGTTGATTAATTGATTTTTTCCCTTTTTCCAATAATAGATTTTTTTTCTCAAATAACATATCCTTATTATGGTTTCCCCTTCTACTCCTCCCACACACTCCCACATCCATGTTCTATCTCTCATTAGAAAACCAACAGGCTTCTATGTAGACAAATTTCTAAATGATCTTATTAAATAAAAAACATGGAGCCAGAAATTGGGGTTAAAGCCTTAAAGAGATCAAGAAAATATGGAAAGCTACCAGCCAACCTTACCTCACCAACTCTGCAGCTTCCAAATGTATGTGGCTTCCTGTCTACTAAGGCTTTATGACTTGCATTGGCTCTCTTAACCCAGCTGCCTCACTTTCTCTTCCTACACAGCTCTGTCACTTTCTGTCTGTCTGAACAGACCTCCAGGTCTCTATGGTTGATACTGGGATTTAAGGTGTGGCTCTGTTCCCTAGTGTGGCCTTGCACACACGGAGACTGCTAAGTGATAGGATTAAGGGCATGTGCTACCATTGCCTGACTTCTTTGTTTACTTAAAATGGCTTGCTATTTCCTCTGATCTCCAGGCAAACTTTATTAAAGCACAAAATAAAATATCACCGTATTTCAGCTCAATGAAAATATCACCACACTTCTAAGTGATAATAATAAAATAATAATTTTTTATATAAAATAATAATAATAAAATAATAAATAATAAAATAAAATATGCTAAGATAAAACTAAAACAAACATATTAGATAAAAACATAAAACAGACAATATTAGCCCAAGAAAAAGCACAAGAAACAGATAGAGATGGAGAGTCTTACTTGTTTTGTTACTCTGTAATCCCCATAAAAACACAAAACTGGAAGCCTTATATATACACAAAGTACCTGGAAGGGAAAAAAAAACAACCACAGGAAAAAAACTAAAACTAAAAGATAAAATTTAAAAAGGAAAAGAAAAATCCCTGACATATTTTGAAACAAAGAACTTACAAAAATGCCATAAGGGGTTATTTTGCTGTCTGTCTTCTGTTGAGTATGAAGCCTACCCTTAAGAGTGGTTTGTTTCCTCAGTAAGACATCTTTGGAGAAACTAAATATCCATCTGCAAATGGTTATCAATTGGAGATGGCGTCTGGGTTAGGGATAGGGGCATGTGTCCACTTCTTCTTTTAGCTCTGGACCCTCTCCAATGAGGGCCAATATAGTCCCTGTGCATGCTGCCTTGGTCTCTGTATGTTCATACATGCATCAATCCTATTGATTTAGAGGATCTTGTTTCCTTGATGGCCTCCAGTCCCTCTGGCTTTTGCACTTTTTCTTCCTCCTCTTCCAGTAGATTCCCTTATCCCTGAGAGGAGGCATTTGATAGAGACATCCCCTTTAGGACTGAGTGTCCTAAGATCACTCACTCTCTGCATAATATCTGGCAGTGGGTCTCTGTATTTTTTCTCATCAGCTACAGGATGATGCTTCTCTGATGATGGCTGCCCAAGGTGCTGATCTAGGGGGTATAGCAGAATGTCATTATGACTCGTTTTATTGCTACATTCCTGTTGTAGACCATTAGTATTTCTTTTTACCTTAAATCCCTGGGCTATCAAGTCTCAACTTCTTGGTCACCCAAGCACTGTTGGATATTGGCTCCACATCATAGAGTGGAAAAGTAAGTTGATTAAGTAAAATCAATTATTGCTTGGTTTCTTTTATAAGCTTTGTGCCACCATGGTACTAGCACATCTTGCAGGCAAAGAACACCATCGTAGATCAAAGGGTTTTGTGGGTGGGTTGGTGTTTACATTTTTCCTTTGGTAGTATGTTGTTTTCTCTTCATCGCAGCAGCTACACCTAAGTCTACTGCTGTTTCAGTTACTGACTGCCCTGCTGCTCAGGTGAAGGCAAGTCTGCCGGAACTGCCTCTGCTGCTGCAACCAAATGTAGTTTTTAACTAAGTCTTTAATCATTCTATTTTACTAATAAAGATGCAGGAGCCAGATACCGGAGTGAATGCCTGATAGCTCAGAGAGGCTGAAAAGCAACCAGCTGAATTTCCTCTTTAGCTGACAACTCACACTCAAAATCCCTCCCTACTACTTACTCCCTGTGCATTTCTGTATCCATTTTCCA